TTGAGATTGCAGACTTTACTGCAACGGCAAGCAATCGCAAAGAAGAAAGCGCAATTTCTAGAGACTCTTCAGGCCTAAGAGATCATATTTCGAAGAACATGATGTCGAAAATCGCTGCTGCCGGTATCAATATGAACAGCCTTCGTGATGCGTTCAATCGATCTGGCGCTGACGGTGTCAAACTATGTTTGGCCGTAAGTGTCAATGGAAAACCCCGAGTGACATCGAACAAAAAGATTATCGATAAAGTCATCGATTTCCTTGCTTCGTCGAACGAGGAGAGAGGGATGGAAGTAAGGCCATCTTCTGCATCGGAGTCTAACAATCATTCGCGTTTGCCACATACTGGGTGTGCTGCCTCGACTGGTAGTGCTATGCTGGTATGCTATATCTATTATACGTAAAAATGGCCAGTTAGCTTTTTCAAATAATTGGACTGACTGGGGTGTATGCTCTGCGTGGAATCTTGTGGCATGTTCTTATAATGCTTGTTTCCATACAACTGAAAATGTCTGTTTTTATTGCTTTTAAACGGTTTCTTGCATGCTTTAGAATATAGGACATTCAGCAATACTCTAGCAATACTTCGCTTTTGTATTCGATAATGAGTTACTGGCAAATGCAAATGAATTGGCTGTCTGTCTGATAATAACGTTTATTCAAAAATGTATACATCCCACACAGCACATAATATTGCAGAAATATTGCAGCAATATTATTTTTTCATTGCAATATTACAATGAAATGTATCAGAAATATTGCAGTAATATTACTGAGATATCTCAGTAATATTAAAATGTCCGCGAAAATGAATATCAGTAATATTACTGATATTTATTTCAGTAATATTGCGGTAATATTACTGCAATATATCAGTAATATTACGGTAAAATTACTATAATAGTTGCGTGATATTTGTATAATATTGCTAGGAATTAAAAAACCATTTTAATAATTTTTATTAAATTTTATTAAATTATTTTTAATAGTATTGTTACATACAATTTTAAAATAATATTGATATTGTAAACGCAATAATATTATTTGTGTAATATTAGATAATATTTATTTAATATTGCTAAAAATTAAAACATTTTAATGAATATTATTAAATTTTATCAAATTGTTATTTTTAATAATAGTATTACATACAATATTAAAAACATAATATTGATATTATCTTTCTATCTCTTTCTTCTTCAAAACTGCTCCATGGTACTCTGCACTGTATGAATTTCCACGGATAAAGAATGACGTAACACTATAACATAATACAAAAACTGTAATTATTATTTATATCAAGAGACACGGTAGTGTCTCGCACCAAGTACACGCGGAGAGAGACCGACCGTGACTCTTTTACGCGACGCGACGGGTTGCGAGTACCCGAGATGTTGAGATCTCGATAACGAGTGAACGGATCAAGTTCTAAGTAGGCTTGATCGATAGCTTGGGGTCCAATTAGGGGGGGTTTCTCTCATAATATTCCGCTACGTGCCCTACGAGCGGAGATATTGCGACGCAAAGTCCAAATGTGAAAATTTATTTTTAAGATACGTATACTTCTAACGCCGACGTTCTTGTATGATGACGTCATAATCAGAAACGTCACTTTCACTTTTTCGACGCTGGCGGCGCAGGTATCGCCAGTTTCGATATCGCGCGCGTATTTCGAAATTAGGTCGATAGACTTATCGGTCAGGAGTGAGATTTCTATTTAGGTATTTTAGGTAAATTAAGTATATACTTATATAATATTAGTGCGTTCGAAAATAGGTTCGGCTGGTGTTGGGAAAAATAATAAAGTTGGCAGTATTGAGAATTCCCAACACTGCGTTCGTTTTCTCCCAACTGGGAAAAGTTGGAGATTGATAGAATGGGGGCAACTAGTGCAGATATTTATTTGTATCGGTCTCAACGCCTTTTGTGAAACATAACCTACGATTCTGAAACGCATACGAAAATAACGCTGTGTGAACATTGATTAGTGTATACTGCTTAGATCGTAAATTATACACCAATCAGTGGACCGTGCAACGTTATTGACATATACGAAAATTTTTCATATGACTGAAAGAATCGAGTTTCTGGTCAGTATCGGTCTTTTTCTTGTCATATAATTTTGTACGTTGTTTTATTGCGTCTCCGGCTATCTCAACCACATCGATTAAATCTAAGGTAATCCTTCCTTTTCTTTCTTTATTTATAAAATAAAGTTTAACACATTACTTTTGTATATATTTTTAAGTCACATTCTCTTTATTTTGCAGGATACAAAAGAGGTTTACCGCAACGCACATTATTCTGCTGATGCAGATAATTCTCTGTACTCTGCGTATGTATTAACGCTGGTGGCAAAGCATAGAGTAAGTATTACG